ATTTTAAGTAGAAACGGGGTTTCACCATGTTGGCCAGGGCTGGTCTCCAACTCCTGACCAGAGGTGATCTGCCCGCCTCAGCCTCCCAAGGTGCTGGGATTATAGCCCCTGCACCCGGCCTGCTCCCTCTTTTTTTTTTTTTCTTTCCTCCTTCCTCTCCTGCCGACTTTTCGCCTTTAAATATTGAGGCCCTCAAAATCCTGTTCAGAGGAGAAAGCGTGGGCCACAGATCCTGCTGGGGCTTGTGTGTCTTTTTCCTGGGTGTGTCCTCAACCTTGGCAAAATAAACCTCTACATCAACCAGGCTTGCCTCAGTCCTTTTCTTCGGTTGTTCACACTTGACCGGCAGCTCCCTGGAGACCATCTGTGAAATGTAGGTGATAATGACAGTGACCATCTCCGAGGGCTCCCGGGAGGGCTGGGCAAGGCCATTTGGACTCAGAGCTGGTCAGGGTGTGTGCTCAGCATGGGGGCACCCTCTGTGGCCGGGAGGCAGGACACAGGCAGACAGGCTCTGCCTAGCTCGGCCCTGACGAACTTCCTCCATGTTCCCTCAGTGCACACTTCTTCCTGGAGATAGAAGGGTTTGAGCCCAACCCCGTGGCTGCCAAGACCTCTCCCCCTGTCTTCTCCAAGCCCATGGATTCCAACATCCGGCAGTGGTGAGTATGGGCCCCAGCCCAACCCCCTGCCCTGGGCCCAGCCCTCAGCTCCAGAATGTGGCCAGTGACTTGCCCTGGTAATGGGGCCAGGCCTGGCTGTGGCATGCTACCACTGTCTATTATAAAACTTTATTATTATTTATTTATTTGAGACAGAGTGTCGCTCTGTTGCCCAGGCTGGAGTGCAGTGGCCCAATCTCAGCTCACTGCAGCCTCCACCTCCTGGGTTTAAGTGATTCTCCTGTCTCAGTCTCCCAAGTAGCTGGGATTACAGGCACATGCCACCACGCTTGGCTAGTTTTTGTATTTTTAGTAGAGACGATTTAGTAGAGACAGTTTAGTTTCACCATGTTGACCAGGCTGGTCTTGAACTTGCGACCTCAAGTAATCCACCTGCCTCGGCCTCCCAAAGTGCTGGGATTACATGCATGAGACACCTCATCCGGCCCATTTTAAAACTTTAAAACCCTCTCTGTTCCCTCCGCCAACACCTTCAGCATCTCTGGCAACTGTGATGACATGGACTCCCCCCAGTCTCCTCAGGATGATGTGACAGAGACCCCATCCAATCCCAACAGCCCCGGGTAAGTCTGCCCCTCCCCCTCCTCCCACTGTGCCCACTCAGGCTGGGGGTGCCAGAGAGGCAGGATCCGGGGCCCTGCAGGAAAGAGAAAGAATCCACCATTCCTGGGGATTGGGACAAGTGGAGTCCTGGGTCCATGGCAGGTAGGACGTGCTGGGGGAAGGAGTGGAGTATTGCATTTTATAAAACCCATTCATTATGAAACATTCAAACAGCAGGACGCAGTGGAACAAGAACTGTAGCACGATACTGTTTTTGTGAACTAAAAATACATGGCCGGGTGCGGTGACTCACACCTGTCATCCCAGCACTTTGGGAGGTCGAGGCGGGCAGATCATGAGGTCAGGAGTTCAAGACCAGTCTGACCAACATGGTGAA